CTAGGGGGCAAGACCACAGTCCATGCTGAGGGCCAGCACCTGCCGTGTCCCTAAAACAGGGAGGGGTCTGCACCCAAGGAAGGAGACCAGGCAACAAACAGGCATCTCCCAAGGCCCGGCAAAACAGGGCTCCAGGACTGCTTGTTTATTCCTTTAGTTCCCTTTTTTTGTTTTTCTGAGACAGGTTCTTACTATGTAGCCCAGGCTGGCCTTGAACTCATGGTGATCCTCCTACCTCAGCCTCCTGAGTGCTAGGATCACAGGTGTGTGCACCACCCCTGGCGATGGATAATTGAATGTTTCGAATTGCACCTTGTTTGGGCTTTTTTAGCTGTACTTGGATCAGGGCCTGGGAACTGTACTTATGTGAGGCCCTGGGTTCCATCTGCAACACTGGAAATAAATAAAAGGAAAACTGGGTAACAAAGGGTAACCTCACATTTCAGAGAGAAAAATTATTTCCTGGCCTGATTTTGGGAATGGGGCGTATCCTTTTTGTCTTCTTCATCTCAGGTTCTGAGCCTTGAATGGATAAGAGACCATTTCCCTTTATAAGCACACACTTTAGTTACGATGTCACCAACCGGGACCAGGACGGAGGAGTGGAGGTGTGGAGATGCACCTATAATCCCAGCACTCTGGGAGGCTGAGGCAGGAGTGCCATAAATTTGAGCCCAGCCTGGAGACTCAGCAAGACTCCACCTGAAAATAACGAATAACAAAAGGGCTGGGAATAAGGTTCAGTGTGCAGGACCTGGGTTTAACCCCAGTACCACACACACAAAAAGATGAAATATGCCTTAGGAGGCTGAGACAGGAAGATTGCTGTGAGTTCAAGGCCAGCCTGTCTCCAAAATAAATACATACATAAATAAAAATAAAAAATGAAAAAGGCTGGGGTCGCAAAGAGAGACCGAAGAGCTCCCCCAGTGCTGAGAGGGCTGCTCGCCATTTGGATCCCGCCTGTCCCCTGGTCATCTTGAACAGGATGACAAATCCAGGCACTGCTCTCCAGTTGGTTCTGACAGATAGAGCTGGATTACTTCACATCTCAGGGCTTTTCCCACATTGTATTTTACTATTTGAATGTTTAATAATGTTGGATTTTGGATATCTTCTTGCTATTCTTCAGAAACATTGAGCATGGAGGATCAAGAAAGCAATAGAATAAAATAAAAATTTTGTTTTAAAAATGAAAAAGGCAAGGGCCAGGGATTTAGCTTAGTGGTTCTGCTGCCTGCCTGGCAAGTGCAAGGTCCTAAGTTCGATCCCCGGTACCAGAAGAAAGGAAAAGGCTGGGGGTACAGCTCCAGGTCAAGGTTTAACCTCCAGGGCCACACACACACACACACACACACACACACCCCTGGTGCTGGGCCACGAGCCTCTCTCTCCTCCTGGTGGCTCAGGCCAACCTCAACCTTAACCTTAACCTTAACATTTTTTTAAAAAATTCCCCTCTTGGTACCAGGATCTAACTTAGGACTTTGTGCTTTTGAGAAAGACTCAGTGCCACTGAGGTAAATTCCCAGCTGCAGCCTTAACTTTTCGGCTGCCTGGGCCACAATGAATGAAGAGGATTACCTTGGGCTGCATATAAAATAGATCATATGGTTTCTGTACATCAGTAACGAAAGTTCTTTTTTTGTTTTGTTTTGTTTGTTAGAGGCAGGATTTCACTATGTAGCCCAGGCTGGCCTCAAACTCATAGCCATCCTCTTGCCTCAGCCTCCCGAGTGTGGGAGTGTGCCACCATACCTGGCACTTCCTTTATATTTGTTATTAAAATTAAAAAAACAACAACAGGGCAAGTAGCTTGTGGCCTGCAGTGAACAGGGTCTTGGACTTTTAGTACACTTAATAGCTCTAAGTTTCACATTTAGAGATGTGGTTCCCTTTCAGTTGATTTTAGTATATTGTTTGAAATTGGGGGTGTGTGTGTTTGTTTTGTCTATTTATTTTGGCTTTTGGATACAGCATCTCACTATGCAGTTCAGACTGGCCTCAAACTTGAAGAGATCTTCCTGCCTCAGCCTCCAGAGTGCTGGCTGGGATCACAGGCGTGCACCACCATGCCCAGCTGTCCTTGTTTTTTTTTGTTTTTTTGGTACTGGGGGTTGAACTCAGGTCCTTGCACCTGCAAGGCAGACAGCAGAACCACTGAGCTAAATCCCCAGCCCCTAGCTGTCCTTGTTTTATTTATTTTTGTAGTCTTGAGTACTGAACCAGGGCCTTCACAATGAGCTACATCCCTGGCCAGTTTTATTTTGAGGCAGGATCTGGCTAAAATGCCTGAGAACTTGAACTGCAGTGAGACCCTCTTGCCTCAGCCTCCTCTGAGAATGGGGGCAGGGCCACCCTCCATCAGCCCGTCTTGTACTCTTCCCTTCTCAGCTCTGTGGCGGCACAATGAACCCTAAAGTCAGGTAGCACGATTCCACCAGCTAAGTTTTTAGAGTGAGTTTGTGTAGGTCGATTGCCAATATCCCCCAAATACAGGTATTATAGTCCTGACCCCGAGTCCTCACAAGACCACCCTGGTTAGAAACGAGGACAGGTCCTGGTGGGGTGGTGGGCCTTACACCACCATCTGAGGCCCCTTTAGAAAGACAGGAGCCGGCCTGGTGGTACCCGTGTTACCATAGCACTCAGGAGGCTGAGGCAGGAGAACCACTGTATGTTTGAGGCCAGCTGCGCTACACAGTGAAACCCTGTTTCAGAAAGGAGAGAGAAAAAAAGAACGGAGATAGCCATTGAGTGGGCAAGGCAGCAGCACTGGACGGGCAGAGAAGGCCCGTCCTGGGTCTCTGAGTGCCCAGCCCGCCTATATTTGGCCTGGGACTTGTGGCCTCCAGGCCCAAGGCTGCTACTGCTCAGGGTGCGGTACTGGGGTCTCGCCACGTCCGCCTGACTGGGCTGGGGGCCACCCTGCTCCCATACAGGCACAGATGCCCTTCCCCAGCTCCTCGCACACCCCCCGTATTTTATTAGAACATCCCGTGCATGGCGCCTAGATTCGGCTACACTGAAGTATTTCCTTTTTGCTTTGTTTTTGGAATGATTATAAATAGTAGTCTTTTTCATTTTAGTTTCCAGTTGTTTGATGCTAAATATAGAAATGTGCTTGGCTTTTGTTGAACTTGGATCCTGTGGCTACAGCCAAACCCAGTTCTTAGCTGGCACAGTAGGCTGGGTGGTGATCTCCATCTGTGATCCCAGCACTCAGGAGGCTGAGGCAGGAGGATCTCTGGGAGTTCACGGCCAGCCTGGGCTTCATAGTGAGACCCTGTCTCTAACCACCTCCAAAAAAATGTCAGAGTTGCAGGCATTTCACGTTTCTGACAGGGTCACTCTGAACAGAGTGGGTTCAAGGCTACAAGACCTCCTAGCCTAATTTGCTGCCTTTATTTCATTAATTCCCTGCAGCTGGGCATTTACATTGTTTCCTTTTTGTCATTGTTCTTTGGTGTTTTTTGTTTTTGTTTTGCACCTGGCATTGAACTCAAGACCCTGAGTTTAAGAGGCAGGTGCAGCCCCACTCAGCTAAGCCCTGTCATCATTTGTTTTGAGGCAGAGTGTATGTAGCCCAGGTTGGCCTCAAACGCCTAGCCATTCTCCTGCCTCGGCCTCCTGGGTGCTGGGATCACAGGCAAGCACCGCCACGCCAGGCTTGCATTCTCTCTTTCCGACTGAAAACCCACAGAATCCTTTCCCCGCCCTGAACCAGGTGCTCCAGCCCGGCTGGTTGGTTCTGAAGCCCAAGTAGGCAAAAGGAGAGGCAGATTTGAACCAGACTGGCTGTGTCCAGTTCAGCTTTACTGTGTGGCCTCAGAGAAGTCACTGAACTTCTCTGTGCATGTTACCTCCACTGCAAGTAACAAGAGGCACAGCACGGCCAGGCTGTGGGGAGGGGCACAGTGAGGGCCCAGCCGGTCAGCAGTTGCCCCTTGCGGCCTCCCCCAGCCGGCCCATGACCCACAGGAAGCCACTCCTGTCCGCCGGCCACTGCGAAGGCTGAGCCCTGGCTCCCGCCTTCAGGCGCTCAGCCCCAGCTGGCCACCGTCCTCAGGAGGAGCGCGCAGCAGTGCAGAGCGCTTCCCTGGCGCCCACTCAGTGCCCAGCCGGGCCTTAGGACAGACCCAGCCCCGCTCCTCTAGGGACGCTGTGCCTCTCTCAGCCCGACCACACCACCTCTCCTCTGGCCAGGCTCCTGGTCTCTCTGACTTCACCTGTGTGTCTTCTTTAGAGACAGAGTCCAGCTTTGTGGCTCACGCCGTGATCCTCCTGCCTCAGCCTCCCGAGTGCTGGGATCACAGGCATGTGACCCTCCAGTCCCTGTCCCCGGCAGATCTTCCTCTCAGCCTCCCAAAGCTCATTTCTCTGCAGCTCTTACTGTGCCTGGAACCCGGTGTCCCCAGTACCCCCCTCTGCAGGGCACCCCCCGTGCTGCCCTGGCCCTCGTCCTTGCCCCCTTGCCCGGTGTCGGGTGGAGCGGCTGGCGTGCGCTGGCCTGAGTCACCAGTGCACAGCATGAGTCGGGGGGGGGGAAGTCCCCACGGAAGGGCCGTGGGGGTGACCAGGCCGCACCTGCCTCTGACATGGTGACCTCGCGCTCCCCAGCAGGATACCCGAGGCCATCAGCACCCGAAGGGGTCCCCACAGCTCCCCTCCGGCACCCTGCGACCGCTCCGCCGGCCTTGGGAGGGCACCCCGGGGTCCGCGGACCCAGGCCACTTCCTGAAAGGTCCCTGTCGCTTCCATTCTGGGTCAGAGACAATCTGAACCCTGGTCGGCGTGAGTCAGCCCAACAGGGGCACACACGGCCCAGTGCACGGGACTGCACCGCCTGAAGGGTCAGGGAACAAGTCAAACATGGGGAGCCGCTGAGCTTAAGGCTGAACCTTATCTTACCTACTCTAGTGGCCACACTAACATGTAAACAAAAACAAAAACACATTTAATTAACAGATTTTTCTTAAATTAACATATCCAAATCTTAATATTTCAATACAGGGGCACTGCGCACTGCGCAAGAACCTGTGATGGGTCCCACCCGTCATAGGTAGGGATGCTTTTTTGTGGGAGTGGGAGCAGAAGGGTCTGGCTACATTCAGGCTGGCCTTCAACTTGCAGCGACCCTCCTGCCTCAGCCTCCCGAGTACTGGGATGACTGGCAGGCGATGTGTTTGGTCCTGTTTACACTGCAGCCTGGGAGGCTGGTGAGGTCTTACAGGGGTGGGCTGGAAAGGGCCAGGAAATCAGGGACAGGAGCAGGTGCAGATCTCTGGGCAGGGCTCTGCCACTGGGCCAGGCTGGAGCAGGGTCTGCACTCCACACAGTAGGGCTGGGTGCACAGTGGGTCTCTGCTCTGGAGAAGGCAGGGTAGGTTTCCGGGGACAAATCTTCTTGCTTAATGACCCACACTGCAGGGGTCAGGTGTCCAGGGCCAGCTCACCACACCTATGGGCACTGGGAGAGGCTGGGGGTGGCCACCCTGTCCTCAAGCCACCGGGCAAGGGCGCACAGGAACTGCAGGCAGACCCTGGGAACAGGGGCACAGGAGGGGTCTCCCGCACGCAGCTCTGGGTCACCTCTATAACCCACCCCTGCAAACACTAGGGACCCAGGGGTCAACAAGGAGCCCCTGCCTGGACACCGCAGCCCAGGAGGGAGGCTGTGTCCAGCCAGGGTAGAGGGGAGCAGCTGGGAAAACCAGACTGCGCCAGCTCCCCATCCAGGCCTGGGAACCGGCTCGGCCGGGAGGACAGCCCGGGGTCTCCTCTGTCGGTCTCTGTCTCTCCACTGTCCCCGGGCCCAGAGCTGAGACAAGGCAAGGTGTGCAGGGCGCTCGACGCTGCCCACTCCGGTGAGCAGTCCCGGCCCAGGGGCCACCAGGCCCTGATGACCAGGTCCCCGGAAAGTAAGAAAACACAGAGGCTGCCGCCCTGCTCAAGTGTGGACCCAGGGCCTTGCAGGGCCTGCCAAGCCCCAGCTGTACAGGGCTCGGGACAGCCCTGGGGACTTGGGGGCGGACTGGAGATTGAGCCAGGTTGCCCGCCCTCTCCCCTCCCCCAGCCGTGCGATGTCCCACCGGGTCCCGGACCGAGGTCTCCCCCACCCCCCAACCTCCACTGCTCCAGACTTGGGCCCAGCTTGGGGCTTGGGGGACTGCGGTCCTGGGCGAACCCTGTGCTTCGGGGCGGGCAGGCAGGCAGCACCCCTGGGCTGGGGGAGCCGGGCCAGAACTCACCAAACCCGGGATGGGTGAGGGGCGGCCCAGTAGCCAGCAACGGACAGCAGGGAGGCCCAGGGTGGCCCCTCTGTTCCCTCGGGCTCCGCCGTCCTCCACTTCGCATAGAAGGCAGGAAACAGCCCGGAGGACCCTGGACGGCAGGGCAGTTCCCAGATGGGGTCACCGGTGCCGTCAGAGAACCCGCACTGGGCGGACTTGGGCCCAGCTGTGGCCTGGAGGTGAACCCAGCACCGGATGATGAGGTCACGTGCCCCTTCCGGCTGTTCCCGCGTGGGGGGGACCTGGGTGGGCACCAGACACACAGCCCGTGGTGCTCCAGGGACTGCGGTCTGACACCGTCTCGCTGGCACTGCCCTGCCTGCCGGGAAGCCTCACCCTCACCCAGCTCCACACGGCAGTGAGCGATCTTATCACCTCCCTGCCACACCCAAAGGGGGCTCTCTTGTGGCCTGGTGGTGCACACCTGTAATCTGGGCATTTGGGAGGCTGAGGCAGGAGGATCACCACAGGCTGGGGTACATGGTGAGACCCTGTCTCAAAAATAAGTAAGAAAGAATCAAATCTACAGGCAGAAGGGTACATGCAGACAGCGCAGGCAACCTAACCTGGCCATCCAGGGCGCAGTCTGGAAGACGGGAAGCTCCCTATAGAGGCGGAGTCCCTGGCTCTTCTGCCTGTGGTCTGGGAGCAGGCGCCCCAGCTGTGGCCATGTGGGTAACAGGAGTCACATGCACTAAGCTTTTTCCTTTTTCTTTTTGGTACCGCGGATCGAACTTGGGCCCTTGCACTTGCGCCTGAGCTAAGCTTTTCTGAGTTTGAACACTGCTCAGGCCCCAGGGACATCCCAGAGAACATAGAAGATAAAATTCTCTGGGCCGAAGAGCCAGTGGTCTGGTGGAAAAAAAACACCTCACGCACTGGGTGTTACTGGCACTGGTTAGATGATGAAGTACATAGTACGTGAGAAACCAGTGTCACGGGAAACAAAACAAAGCGTGGTAACGTGGGTGGGGGCTATGGGGACAGACATCCAGTTTTCAATAGTGTAGGCAATTTGACACTGCACAGAGCCCTGAAGTAGAGGGAAAGCCAGCCCTGAGGACAGCTGGGAAAGAGCTCATGGGGGTGCTCACGGGGGCACAGCAGCATGTACAAAGGCCCTGAGGCAAGTTCAGCATGAGGCTGGAGCAGCGAGAGCAGAACCTACCGGAGAGGAGCAGGAAGGGACAGACTTTAGGGCCTTGGAAAGTAGGAGCCCTGAAGGCTCTAAGTAGAGAAGAAACAGATATGCCTTACATTTTAGTTCCACAGAGGCGCAGCACTGGGAATTAAGCCTTCACAGGACTGCTGGGACTGAAAGAATCGGCTTCAGGAAGGGCCTCCTGGAAGACAGGCAGGGACAGAACTGCTGGCTTGTGCCCCAGTGAGGGGCAGCATGAGTCCTCCTAGACTGGCTGAACAGTGAGCTAGGGCCGGAGCCTGGCAGGCACCACCCAGCCCGGAGGAGCCACACAAACCCACTACCAGGCAACAGCCCCCCACCGTAGCTTCCCTTCAAGGCTCACTGTTTCTGGTTTAGATTTAATTAGACTCCCACAGGGCAGCCTCAGAGGGGACCAGATGGCGCTGCCTGCCAGCCTGCCATGGCTGTCACACCACACGCCACCTTACCCAGGCCCAGGGCTGTCCCCACCCTGCCAGGTCCCTGCCCTGTGCTTCCCCAGGCCGTCAGAGGCCACACCAGCACACGTCCTCCGCCGCCCGATGGCCGGAGTATGCATAGCCACCCTGCCCACAGCCACAGCCTGAGCGCCTCTTGAGGTCCCCAGAACAACCTGGACAGCGTGGCCAGGCTGCGGTGTGGGTGTGGAGGTGGTGGCGGGAGGGAGGCGACGCCAGGGGAGCGCCTGGACTCATCCTGGCTGTGAGACGGCGGAGGCTGCGGTGCCCGCGGGTGCGTGCACTGGGTCGCCTTTCATCCGGGTCTCTCCTGAGGCTGAGTAGAAGCGGCTGCTGACCCGGGAAAGTCCACAGAGCCCCCGGCCACCACGGCTGGGACTGGCTCACAGCACGGACGCTTCCAGGCCCTCGTTTTCACTGGAGTTTTTCCCTCGAAAGCTGGAAACAGAAGAGGTCCTCCACCCAGTCCAGGCTGCCAGGCTTCCTGGCAGCAGAGTCTGTGGTCAGCAAGGCCTGGAAGCCCAGGCTGCCAGATGACCAGAGGCACCAGTGGCGGGCGACCCGGATGGAGGTGGTCACGATGCCTGTTACCTGCTCATAACTATTAACAGGGGCCCTTGCATCTTACTGTCCTGCCTCTCTGCCGAATCTGAGCACGCTGTCCCCGATCCTCTCCGTGGGCCCAACAGGAATTCACACGCCCACTCACCAAGACAGATTCTAGGCCTCTCCGGCCAGCAGTGCACCCAAGGACCAGAGGCCACGGGGAGTGGGACAGCATGCAGGGTGACCCCGCGTGCACCGTGGCGAGGGTGGAGGCGGGATAGATGTTTACACAGTGAGGTGGCAGCGGGCTGTCTGGAGACCGCACTGCGGTGACACAGAAGCGTCCGCTTTGTGAAGGGCCTCAGGCCCAACACTCAGGACCTGCGCCTGTTCCTCTTGGCCAGTTCTTACGATCAAAGCTCTGATAATTTCGCCGCTAGAGCTCGAATCCAGGGCCTCCCAGAGTGAGGGCTAGGTCAGGCTTCTACCACCGAGCCACATCCCAAGGCTCAACTGGAAAGGATCCTGGTTTGAACAACAGGCTGGATGGTTCCCAGTCTGCGTCTCCCATCTACTTCCTGACGTGGGGAACACAGAGCGCGGCCCTCTCCCATTTTCTACACCTAAGCTCAGGAGGCATTTCCCAGAGGAAGAGCGGACCCAGCTCCTCCCTCCCTGTACATTCGCGGGCCCCTGAAGTTCCCAGGCCAGCTCTGGGGATGAGGATGGGGAGGCCGGTTCTGGGGGCACCCAGGTCCGCTCCCACTCGGCTCCCTGCAGGCCCCGACCCGCACGTCAACCTTCAGCGCCTGACACCCGCGCCCCCACGCGCCAGGCCAAGTTTCCAGAGTGCAGGGCTCCGTTCGCTGACTGTACGCGGAGTCTGGCCTAGCTCCCGGGGCAAAGGAGGCTCCTGACGAGGAGCGAATGAAGTATTTGCGCCTCTTGGCAGCGCCTCGATCGTCACCCTGCTTGCATTCGGGTCCTGACTCTCCAGACTTGACAGTCTGCTGGGACTCATTCAGGTTTTCACCCCACACCGCTCGCTCTCCGCCCGACGCTGGGAGGGAAAGAGGGTGAAGTCGGGGCATTTGCAGTTCCGAAAGCCTGCAGGCGGGGGTCAGCCGTGGAGCCGTCCGGGTTCCCAGGGTGTGGAAGCCACACGGCAGGGACTGCAGTGGCCGCCTGCCGATTTCTTTATACCTGCCTCCCTCCGTCGGGGTTTGAGGTAGCGTACGAAAGTACACACGCTGCAAGATGGAAAAAAAACCAAGTCGGCGAGGAAATCAGGACACATGAAAAGTACGAGAAAAAAACAATCAAGATGGAGTAAGCTCACTAGAGATGGGACTTTACGAAAAGTTGGTCAAGTTTTCCCGGAGCCCACGGGCTCTCCTTTCCACCTTTCTTCGCTCCTGGGGACTGGGCCCTGCAGTACTCGGGGACGCGGGGAGGCGGAGTGGCGGAGGGAAGGGGCTGCAAGATCGTGACCGGGCCTAGCAGCCTGGTGGCCCCGAGCAGGGAATCTGTGGAAGAGGGACGGGACCTGGGACCGGGGTTCGGTGGTGGGCG